CCCCCCCTGTTCTACCCACACTCTTTGAGACGCTGACAGGAAAACGGATGCCTACAGCTCTGGTCTTCCCCAAAGAAACCCGACTTGTGAAGGTCTGACCCTGTACCCATTATCCCTGATGTGCAAATTCCCACAATCAACCACAACGGCCGATGTATTTCTCGGAAATAAGCCTTGACCACACCCTTCTCATCTGTACTCAGCTTACTGACTATAGTCATGACTTCACACTCCCTCATCTTTTGGCAATTACGTAGCATCTCCCAATTCTAATCCTCTCGACCAATTAATGTTTTTTTAAAAAAAACAACCACAGCTCATTCACATCATCTACCTGATTTGGAAATTACAGCTATGTATCTGGCTCTTGCATTAAGTCCATACTCTTGGCCTTAACTATTTTTGATTTCAGGGGTACTTGCCCGACATAATATGACCTAATCAAAATCTTTCTGGAGGAAAAGGTTTTAGATTCATATTTATCAATATATGCATCGACATAGATAAACATCTATTCTGTTAGAAATATTATTTAGCTCAAGAGCAAAGAGCTGGAGTACCACAAAAAATACATCTGTCGTGGAAATGCTCTACTGCATGTACTACTCTATCCTTGCCTCACATCAGGGAAAGAATCAATTGCTGTGAGCATTCCAACAATTTTTGCAGTCTACTAGTAAATCTTTAGAATCAAGGGCTTAAAGATTATTTAATAACAGTCACTCTTTAAGGAAACAAACTTGAACGCCTTACAGGAGGCATGTCTAGGTGACCATTACTGTTCTGACAAACTTAGGTATACATGACTGTCAATTGCTCCACTCAAGTTCAGGGCACCCCAATACAAAAGCCCCAATGTTCACGTGTTCCCATTACCTGCTTGCCTTCTAAGTAATCTGTTTGGGGGCCCTGGGGCCTCAGAAGAACACCAGTTCCCAGGGAGGGGTTAGTTTCATCTAAACTAAGGGATCATCCAAAATATACTCGCGTCTTCACAGGAGTGGCTAGAAAAGGGGCTATTTGGGAAAGATGACTCAAAAGAGGTAAGAGGAAGAAAGCTAGCGGGGAGGAACTAAGACTACGGAGAGAGTAATCTTAACAAAGAAATGGAGACATTCAAACTCATGTCTCAATACACACTTCCATGTCACAGATACTTGCAGATATCATTAGTTGCAAATGTCCCTACAAAGTATGAGTTTAAAATATGAAACGCTAAAGTCAGGCAAAAGTCAGACTGGTAACTTACTCTAAGAATTACCTTAAGTACGTGTGGGTTTAGTCAGAACTGTTCTTTAAACTGTTAACAGAAGGTTTACAATTGCTGTTGAATAGGACTGAGAGAATTGTCTTAAAATAAAATTTCCCATCCGAAAGTGTCAGTTTTTAAGACCCTAAAAAGGCCTGATGGGACTCATTATTGACTCTTTAGATGCTTAAACAAACCTACCAACATTCTATAATCAAACAAAAGGCTTGTTGCACTCAAGAAACGGATATAAAACATACTGTGAAAAATCCACGACATCTTTCTCACATGATCAATTCTACTTGTAGCATTTCAAATGACTCAAAGAATCAGTTAGTGGTGATAGGGAGTTATCAAAAGTATGTTTACTTAGTTTGGTTATTTGAAATGTACCAAAAATAAATGGGCTTATTACTTAAAATCCCAAGAGTGGTCCTCTCTCTATAGAATACCAACAAAACCAGCAATTATAATATAACTGGGAGGAAAAAAAATCCTAAGTTTTCACATATTCAATTGCTGTGTCCACAGGGAAGGAGGTTGTACTTGTTGACTGCTCATTTAAACAGAAACAAAACAAAATTAAAAACTCCTAAATTCCTAATAACCAATGGAAAAGTTTTTGCCTGTTGGCTTTTTAAATTCAGAAGCTTAATTTACTGTGTACAGTTTTACATGCTTCATTTTTGCAAAATGGTATTGTTACTCTGCCTATGTAGGGGCGGTAGCAAAATTTAAAAATCATGCTGCTTTTCTCCTACCCACTGAGTTGTATACACACCCCCGCTCCCTGGCCTGTCTTCTCGTTAGCAGCTATAAGCACATACAAATACAGATAGCCGAGCTGGATCCCAAACCATGGGTGGGAACAAAATTGTTGTGCCTATGGCTTTAGGTCTAAGTGATGCATTTCACAATGGATACAAGTAAAGCTTGCTTGCCCTTTGGTTTATGGCGGTACCCACACTGCTTTTAGGATTGAGGACAATTTATATGTCAGCGTCTTTATGTACTGCACAATCTGCAGAAGATCTTTGCTTAAAGATGTTCTGAGTACTACATACCAGGCTGGTCTGCCCGCTGCTATAGTCTCCTGGTGACTTGGCTTCCGCGGCCCTGTTTGAAGTTGTTCTTTAGTAGCCTCTTAAAACTATTCTGCTTAGGATGCTAAGATGAAATCTAATTAGGTTCCCCCTACGGCAGGGCCCCCACAGTCAGTCTCTCCAACAGATAACCAGCAAAGCAGTTGTAAGTCAGAGTTTCAATTTAGTAAGGTAAACTGGCCTTGCTCATATATCTTATGTTTGCCTATTTCATCATGGAAATTAAACCAGAGTCCATTGCCAGTTCCCACTGTATTTAAACCTCTTTATGCTTAACTTCTGATTTTTTCCATTAGCAGCTTCCAGAAATACCTATCTGGAATACTAGCGTGATCACGTCCCTCCCCTGCCTAAGCCCCGTCCCATGGTTTCCTGCTACATAAAGGGCAAAACACAAACACCTCTCTCTGCAAGACAGTCAAGAGTCTCTGGGGCTGGACACCTGTCTACCTCTCTACACTTCTTTCTGGTTATCTTCCCTCTATTCCTGACTACTTGTTTCCCCAGAATCCACCAGATGGTTCCCACCTCTGTGCTTTTGTGCAGACTATTTCTCATGCTCCAGAACACTCTCTCTCTTCTGTCTGTCCCCACACTGACAAATGCCCTTCTCCCACCTCTTCCCAAACCCCACCAGATATCACTTCTGACTCAGGGAGGGTGAGTGGCTTCTTCGTCTATCCTTTCTTACCCAGTATCACATTGTACTACACAGTGCTCACTCCATGAACTAGTCAGGCCACACATCTTTCTCCTACACCAGGTTCACCTCTGAATGACAATGCACATTTGCTGAAGGTCTAAGTGGAAGAATGACTGACATAATGCCATGCCCCCAAATGTTTCTGGTGACAAAGAAGTGATAAAACTACTCAAAAATGAAGTGACAAAGAGCTGTGAAATTTATACTAATAAACATTCATTCAGTCTTTATTTTTTTCTTCAAAAATTCAGTAATCAATGCTGACTCTCTAGTGGGAGAGAATAATTTAGTGTCACAATGATTAGTTGTATACATATGTCATGAAGGAGAGGGCCACAGTGCAATGTTTACAATGAAAAAAATGTTTAGTGGGAGTGTAGGGTGTGAGGCTTTTTCCCAGTGGTGAGGATGAGGATGGGGCCACCAGCGCATCCAGCAGGCAGGGGGAAGGGGCACTGCCAAGTAGAGCAGTGAGGAGGGAGCACGGTGCAAGAGGAGTAGGTGCGGGAAAGGACCAGGCTTGGCTCCAGGGGGCTGGAGTTACTTCTTACCATTGTAACCCAGAGCTAAGGGGCTTTTTTCCTTTTTGCCCCTTGGCTACCCTGTTTCCAAAAAAAAGTTTCAAAACCTTTTCTAGCTACACTTTCAAAAAAAAGTTTCAAGACTTTTTGTGGCTATACTGTTTCAAAAAAATGTGGCTACACTATCTCTGAAAGAGCCAGAGAGCAGCAGGGAGACCAGTTAGGAGCCATTTGCAGTCCTTTTCTCAGTGTGCTTGTTATCACATGCCTCTCAATGATGTGGTCTGGAGGGTTACGATCTTCAAACGAAACCACCCAAACCTAAGCACTCAGCCTTGATGAAACAGTGTAGCTGCTAAGTAGGAAAAGGCAGTCACAGGATTTCCAAGAGTCCTTGGGTGGTGCAAATGGCTGCGTGCATGGCTATCAACCTAAAGGTTGGTGGTTGGAGCCCACCCAGAGGTGGCTCAGACAAAAGGCCTAAGGATCTGCTTCTGCAAGGTCACAACCTTCAGAAGACCCTGAGCAGTTCAACTCTACACACACGTTGACTTGCCGTGAGTTGGGATTAACTTGATGATGACTAACAACAAAATTCAGTCCATCTAGCTGTGAGCCGAGAAGGATCTGGTCTAAACCTCTGGGAGCAGGCTGCCGGAGGGAGATGTGCCAGGACACCACACTGAGGGCGACTTCAGAAAGGATCAGCCGAGCACTAGTCTTCATCAACCCAATGGGGCTAGAAGATCTCTAATTGGGGGTATGCTAGGGCAGAACCCGAAATACTGATTTCAGTGAAAAATCACACGTTTGAGTGACATGATACTAAATATTAAAGCTGACAAAAGGATTAATTTAATTTCATAAAACCATTCAAGCATGAACTTTTATTGAGCATAAGCCTGTGTATTACTTAGTGGACTCGTATCTCATTTACATGATTTATGTTTCTTACAATAGCCCCTCTGGCTATATCGTTCTAATCAGAGATCTCCGAACATGCGTGCACTCTGTGCCATTGTTCCTGCTGTTCCCTCGCCTGACGAACACCTACTCATCCTTCCGCGTCCGGCTCAAATGTCGCCTGCTCTGCGGCGCCCTGCCCAACTCCCACAGCCATAGCTAATTACTCCCTCCTCAGTGTTTCCATAGCAATGTGTTGACATCCTTAAAACAGCACTCTGCATCGTGGTTACGACGGCTGTTTATGCTCCGGTTTCCTGCATGACTGCGAACGAACGCAGGAATTGTGACTTCTTCAACAGCTTGGTCCTTAGCTGAGATCAATGCCTAGCACAACAGGCACTTGAATGTTTGCCAACAAACAACTGAGTGGCCAAGATAAAGAAGGAGCTATGCCATAAAGTAGACCCTATTCTTTGCTCATTACCAACACATTACTTTCTCTTTAACCATGCTCGTTAGGGAGAAAGACAGGATTTCCCTTTAGTTCGGCAACTGCAAGGTCAGTAGTTTGAACCTACCAGTCACTTCCCAAGAGAAAGTTGAGGCTATTCTATTCTGGTAAAGAGCTAACAGTCTCGGAAACTCACAGGGGGAGTTCTACTCAGTCCTATAGGGTTGGTATATATGTATATACACATGTATATATATATATGTGGTTGGATTAGACTCATTGGCAGAGAGAGAGAGAGATTGATTGATTCTATCTTGGAGATAGTGGTAGAGCAGTGGACAAAGTGCTCGGCTGCTAATCAAAAGGCTGGCAGTCCAAACAACAGCCAGCAGCCTCCCCAGGAGAAAGATGTGGCCGTCTACTCCCATAGAGAGTACAGCCTGGGACATCCTACGGGACACTTCTACTCTGTCCCATATGGTCACTGTGAATCAGGATTGACTTGATGGTAGTAAATTTGGTTTTTATTCTTAATTTTAGCTGAGAAAATTTTCAGTGAAGCAGAGTTTTCCAGAAATTTATCCTCCCTTTAACTATAGAAAATCCATCATAGATACAGACACCTGCGATTGTTATAATCCTATATATTATTAGTTGAATAAAAAAGACTCCTACTTTGCTATTAAATAAATGTAACTTAAATATGATGCCGAGTGGCACTGTGGGCTGCTCGCAGCAAAACTGCCTGTTCAAACCCACCAGCTGCTCTGTACGAGGCTGTCTGCATCCATAAAAATGTAGTCTTGGAAATGCCTGGTAGCAGTTGTACTGTGCCCTAACCCATTTGGCAGGGGATCTATGATTTAAATAAGATATTTGCATGTTTAAGCATCAACATAACTTTGGAACTTATAACCAGGGGCTGGGAAAGCAAGGACCTTATCTTTGCATTTCTCTTGTACTCCAATTACTGCCCAGCATAGTGATAAGGAGCCCCGGTGGCTTAATGGTTATACACGGGGCTGCTAACCACAAGGGGAGCACATCGAGAGGACCAGAAGCTTTCTACTCCTGTAGAGTTATGGTCTTGGAAGCCCTTGGGGCAGTTCTACATTGTCCTACAGGGTCACTGTGAGTTGAACTCAGCTCAATGTCAGTGAATGAGTGAGAGTGATACAGTACAGACTTTTAAGCAGCAGCAGCTGTTAATCTGTAACTCTTTATAAAACACCTATCCAGGCTATTTTACACAGGAACTGTTTCCATTTCCCACACAAACATCTTGGCAAGTCACTCTCAAAAGAGCCTTAAAATTTAATACTCCCTATGAAAATCCACCACAGTACAACAAACTAACAAGTGGTGGAGACTGTAACCAAGTGTGGTGCAGAAATCAGATCCTGCCTGGCTATCAGCAAGAATAGCAGCCAGTATCTTAAACACTTGTCTTAAAACAAGCAACCATCTGAGTGAGGTGACAGCTAAGTCCACATGAAAGGACACATACCAGCCTGTGTGAACCAAGGATTATAAATAATAAAATCCAAGAACAGAGGAGGGGATGTTATTAGTGCTTAACTTCTCACCCCCCAGTTTGCAGAAGGCTATGGATGGCAGTGAAAGCCCAACATTCATTGGGCTGTATGGATCATAACAAACTTTGCATAGCCTTGAGACGCATGGGAATCCCAGAACATTTAATTGTGCTGATGTGGAACCTGTACATGGATCAAGAGGCAATTGTGCAAACAGAACAAGGGAATAATGCATTGCTTAAAAGCAGAAAAGGTTGCATCCTCTCACCAAAATTATTCAATCTGTATGCTGAATGAATCATCAGAGAAGCTGGATTTTATGAAGAATGCAGCATCAGGATTGGAGAAAGGCTCATTAACAACCTGTGATATGCAGGTAACACCTTGCTTGCTGAAAGTGAGGGGCACTTGAAGCACTTGCTGATGAAGATAGGATTGCCGCCTTCAGCATGGATTACAAGTCAATGTAAAGAAGACCCAAATCCTCACAACTGGATCAACAGTTAACATCATGGTAAATGGAGAAAAGACTGAAGTAGTCAAGGATTTTTTTTTTGGTCTTGCTTGGATCCCCAATCAGCGCTCATGGAAGCAGCAGTCAAGAGATTGAATGGTGTCTTGCATTGGGTAAATCTGCTGCACAAGCACATCATGTTTGGTGGAGGGGCAGCAAAAAAAGCGCAAGACCCTCAGCAAGATGTACTGAGCCATGACTAAACCATCGAACGCAAACATAAGAACAACTATGAGGAGGTGAAGCACCAGGCAGTGTTTCGTCCTGTTGTACGCAGGGTCGCTCTGAGTTGGAACCAACAGCAACAAGAACACCCATCAGTCATGTGGTCACATCTATTAAGGGCATCTGAACAGCTGTGAGTTTATCTGGGGGTATGTTTAAGGGGTAGGACAGTTAAAAGTACAGTCCTTTACATGTGACAGTCCTTTACCACCAAGTGACAGACAGCGACGTGCAATTTAAAATTCAGTTGTTAGCTGCATTCACAGCAACCCCCTGCCCAAGGGACTCTTTGTCAGGCCATGCACTCTTCACGACCACCTGCGTGCCCAAGTCCCTTGTGGAAGTCACGGTGTCCTTGGAGTACGTTCCAACTTAGGCGGTTCATCTGCCAGTACTATCCAAGACAATACTGTTGGGATTCAAGGGGTTTCCATTGGCTAATTTTTAGCAGTCGCTCACCAGGCCTTTCTTCCTAGTCAGTCTTATTCTGGACGTTCCATTGAAATTTGTCAATTATGGGTGATCCTGCTGGTAACTCACTCGGTTGCTAACTATAAGGCTGGAAGCTTGAGCCTACTCAGAGGCATTTCAGAAGAAAAGCCTGGCAATATAGTAAAAACAAAACAAACAAACAAAAAACCCAGCCAAGTGAAAACCCTAGAGACATAGTCCCATCCTGACATACATGTGCTCGCCAAAACTTGGTATTAACTTGATGGCACCCAATCACCTTGGCCCTAGCCCCAATTTATTTACTTTTAAGATACAGAGAAGAGGTAATAGATAATGCTGCTCAACGAATCACATCCTTATGAAATGAAATCTAGCTACAAGGTTGGCCTCTTGGGACTATGATATGCCTTCAAAAAACCCAAATTCATTGCCACCTAATTAATTCCAATACATAGTGACCCTGTGGGGTGCAATTGCCCTGTGTGTTTCTGAAACTAACTCTTTAAAGGGGGTGGGATGCCTTGTCTTTCTCTCTCATTATATGCCCTCCTAGCATACATTAAGTAGGTAATTGGTACATGTCTCTGAAAGAAGTAAACAACAATATAACTACACTTTATATATCCATATAAGAATTGGATTGGTCATACACTTGATTATTTTCTCCCAATTTTTTTGATAGTTCCTTCATAGAAATGCAGTAATTTCTAGTGGACCTTTGGTTACATGTTGGGAGAACGATTTTCTTTTATAGGTAAAAGACTGCAAAAACTAATTTTGATCTATCAGTTTTTGCCTTAGGTTCCACTGAAAAACCATGCCAGTCTCTAGCTACTTAAACAATGACAAAGGCTTTAAACATATCTTCATGCAAAGTTACCATGTGCCAGTCCGTTTCCACTTTTCTGAAGATGGATTCCATTCTCCACACACCATTCTCCCATCCAGAAATGGTCTCGTTGTTATTTGAAACTCGGACATAGTGATCTTTCGCAACATTATAACAAAGGTGAAGCTGCCTGGAAATCTTCTCATCTTCAGAAGGAATGAACAAGGTTTCTTGTGTCTTTAAAAGAAAACAGAACCAGGCTCTCAACGTAATGGATATAGAACAAAGAAACATAAAAAACTGGTATATAACATATTGAAGGAATTAAATGGCAAGACGCTTTACATATTCATGTAAGAAAATAGCCACATGGATGGGTCACTGGATTATATCCCCCTCAATTCTTGGATGGAAACGGACTCCTCTTTAAATAGAGTATGGCTAAGGAAGGCACAGATTCACACCAAAAAGAAAAATTAGTGCCATTGAAAAATTCTGAAAAATGCTGAATGGCAGTGGCCATTACTAGAGACAAAACAGGAAACATAAACTCTAGCTCTGATTTAATTTTTTTGTGTGATTTTGTGTTTAACTTTCATCCACGTGTCTCATTTCCATCTCCATCACCATCTCTCTTACTGAGACTATTAAAACAGTATCCTCAACTTGACTCCCAGTCTTTCAACTTTTTCTTACCTCTTCTATTTATACTCCACATGGTAATGAAAATGATTTTTAAAATGTAAAGCTAACTACTCTCCCATATAACATACACTACAAACTTCCCACTGTACTTAAACTCTAAACTCTTTACCAAGGTTAACAAGGCCCTGCATGACTGGTCCTCTGCCCATGCCCCCAAGCCGGCTCCTCTTGCTCTTCCCTCTGGGCTCTAAGCTCCTCCCACAGTCTAATTCCTCAAATTGGTCCAGCTCTTTCCTGCCTTGATACAGGGTGTTTGGTCTGGTACCCTGCTCTTTCCACTCTTCATATACGGGGTCCAAAAATTCATGGAAACAAGGAATTAAAAGATAAAAATAATTTTTACATGAACTTTTGACACCCCCTTGTTTGTATGATTCTTTCTTATGCTTCAAGTCTCAACCTAAAGCCAATCATAGTAGTCTTTCCTGATTTTATGCTAAGCTAGAATACAAGGGAAATAATTTTATACCTGTGTCAAATTGCTAGAAAAGCTCATGCTTTATCCTAAAATTCCAGACAAGTATTAACCTCCTCTCTGAAATATCTGAATGACTCTAAGGTTTGAAAAAGGTGCTGTACGTAGCCTGTGTCTTTGCGTGCCATTCACATAATTAACATCCCTCCGTTTGGGGGCACAGGCAGAGCAGGCTGCTGTCAGATGCTTGCTCTAGACCCAGATTGCTCTGCATCATCATTTCAGGATAGGTTATTCTATGTTGGGAGGGACTTCTCCCTACATTCTTCCAGAAGATGCCAACATAGCCACCTCCACCACCTCTCCAGTTGTGACAACTGAAACGCAATGGCAAATAGCTTCTAGGAAGCAAAATCATCCACCATTAGGGCCAACTGCTCTAAACAACGTCAACATCTTGCTGAAAGTAATCAGGATTGTTGGCAATACTTTTCTTGGGGATGGGGGTAGTTTATATAAAACAATATAAAAATTAAAAATGCACAAAATCAATAAACAGTACATATAAAAAATCCTTACGGAGAAATGCTTACGTATACTACTATCAAAAATTCTAGCTAGTGCCATTAAATAAATGTATGGATAATACGGTCATTTCTTAGTAGAAAGTGACTTTTGATGCCTAACAAATACAGTATAAAACAACGCTTATTTTTAGAAATGATTTTAACAATTATGAATCAGCATATTAAGCATTGTAACATGCATATGAGAACACTTCACAATTCTTTTCTTTTCTTCCTTCTGCAAAGATATTTCTGAGTGCTGACAGAAACCAAATGGAAATAAAAGTCAAAAATAGCACTATCTACTTTACAAAAGATGAACTAATTACCAAAGGGCAAAGCCCAAAAGAGTATGCTACTGAAAACAGGGTGTATGCAATCGAACAAAGCCAACTGAAGTACAGTCATATTTTACAAAATGTTTTCAATCTAAGATTAATTTTTTTCTTTCTGGGATGGTGCTATCAATAATGCTTTCTTTTTAGAACTGGCTGCAAGGTGCAGGTCCACAATTTTTATGATGGGTATTTTCCAACAGTATTCTTTTCTAAAGGGTAACAGGGTTGCTCTTTTAATTCATGGCCTTCCTATGTTCCCCCAGTAACTGAGAAATTCTGAACATTCAATGAGCAAGAATCTGCATATATGACCCAATTTGTATTTTTAAAGTTTAATTAACTTATATGTCAGAGGAAGCAAACCCATCCAAAGAAAAAGAATTGAAGACCTAAATAATATCCATTCCTTAAACTCAAAGCAGCTGTGAATTAAATTAGCTCTTTTTAACTGGCTTCATTTAGATTTACACTTGTTAACTCCGCACTGCATCAGCAGCGATTTGAATTATTTGTTGAATTTAGAGTTTCTAATTCTATGGCTGAGCCGACACTTTCTAATGCCTTTTATAGATGATGGAAAAATTTTAAAGCACACACAAAATGTACTGGGGATAATTCGTCTCTTTTGAACATAAGCAAAGAAGTGCAACAATGGCAAATTTAGAAAATGTAGATATAAATGAAAATTAGTTTGGAGTTCTTTGGTATTAAAACTGTAATGGGTTATTTTCCTTTTAAGCGTTTTCCTTATATATTTCCCTAGATATCTAATATTAAATGCTTTCCAGTGAGTCAACTTTAAGCTCACTAAAGGAAAGGGATAGTGTGCTGTACTGTATTAATATCCACTGCAGAGCCGAGCACAATGCTTTTCAGTTAACCCATAACTACAGGACTTAACCATAGAAATTAGATTGTTCATTATTTAATATTGGGGGATTAATCAAATGATAATAACTTAAAATGAGTTTGACAATATAATAGCAATCACACCAACAATGATTTCAGATGTATGCAAGTATATATCACAAAACATATACTCTCATTAACTTATCTACATTTTATTTTTTCCTCAGTGAGCTCTTTTATGTAAACTGAAAATTCCATCTTAAAAGACCTGAACAGGAGATTCTTAAAAGAGGAAGGATATCCAAATGTTTAAAGGACAGGTATTCAACTTCATTAGTCATCAGTATAATGAAAATGAAAACACAAGGGGGTTATCAAAAGGTTAATGGAAAAGTTCCATTATCTTTTAATTCTGTTTTTCCAGATACTTTTTGAAGCTCCTCATATATGATTATACACACACGCACAGATGCACACAGCCCACCAGAATTGCTAAGTCACAGATGTGAAAGACTCTCAGAGATTCTTGGTAAGAGTTCACATTAGCACCCACTGATGGGAAACTGTTTGGCAGGATCTACTAAAGCAATTTCACTCAAAAGAAATGCAGACATGTATCGCTGAAAACATGTATATGGATATTTGCAACAGCACAATTTGTAGGAGTGAAATACTAGCAGCAACCCAGATGTCCACCAATATAAATCAACTATATTAGTGATTTAAGTGTTACCTATTATAGTATAGACCCAAGCCAAAGAATACTATACAGCATGAGAATAAACATATCCTAAACAAAATGTATGAACCCCACAAACTTTACACTGAACAGAAGAAACCATACACATACAGAGTATGTTTGGTTCCAATTATACAAATCAAAATGGCAGGTGATTCAATTCTAATCTAGAAGCCAGGTCGATGGTTACTCTTCGGGACAGAAACCAGTGACTCCAAGAGAGAAAACCGAGTGAGGGTCTACTGGACTTTCTCAGGTTGTCGTTCTTATTTCGGGTGGTGGTTACACAGGTGCTCAATTTGTGAAAATTCATGAAGCTGTAATTTATGAATTATACATATTTTATAATACTTCAGTTAAACTTACATGGCTCTAAATATTTACATAAGGTGAAAAATAGAAAAAGTCTTAAAATGCTTTGCTACCTCATGTATGCAATTACACTATATCAGTCAATTATTAGTTCTTGAAAGTTTCATATTTTTTAATAGTTGCACTACAGAGTTAGGGCATGAAGGCCAGTGTACTTTTCTGTCATCACACAGGAAAAGACAGAGAAGAGCAGGATATAAGAAGTAATTACCTCTAGACCCAGTTCACCGCGGGCTACCCGCCAAGCCACAGACCCGGAGGTTCTCCCGCCTAGTTCTCCAGGCTTCGGGGTTTTGGGAGATATAAACTCAACCAGCTCCACGATTATCCTTTGGAGAAGTTCTTTTCTTCGGCTTTCTGACAAGGACTGCTGTCTCTGTGATTCATTTAAAAAAAAATAAGTTAACAGTGGGAGAAAGTTGCAACCTATCTCTAAGCAAGAATATACTTAAAAGGTTTGCATTTTAAGAGGATGTTGAAAGAAGTAACCAATTTTATTTTCATACATATTTTATTTGGTAAACAAAAAGGGCATGGTGGAAGGCTTAAAATAAATTCACACAATTTATTACTAAACACTCGTTCCCATGTCTCCGTGGCCTTTCTGAGCGAGTTTGCTTCATTCGTTTGCTGAAACATTTCAGCTCTTGTCCTGTCAGTCCCTAGAGTCTTACTTTTGACTAAGGCCTTCAGTGCAGCTTGCTCACATGGTGTCTCTCGAAACAGCTAAACGCTGACTAGCTCTCAGTTCTTTCCATTTCCTTTTCTCTCCCACAGCTTCACCGGCACTCAAGGCACACATCACACAATTCAGCAGCTCGATCAAGCCAAGAAGAGTTGAAAATCACTACCACCATCAACTTTAGAACATGTCCCCCCACCCCCATGGTGAAGTCACTTTTAAAATGAGTTGTGGAATCACCATCAGTTCTAGTGAGTGCTCCCTCCCCCTCCCACATACGCTGTTTGCTCAGCCTCCCTATCTCCCACCTTCCACCTCTACCTCCCCACAAACCCTCGCATCAGCTCTTATCTCTTCATCTTTACTCCTCTGTGCTTCACAAACTGGCAAACCCAACAGAAACAATAAAAAACAGAAAAAATTAAGTGGTAAGGATAAAAAATAATAATACAGAGATTAAAAATACAAATAGTGAGCAAGAAAGAAAAGACCACCATGACTATTTACAAGGCCAGGGAAGAAATTTTTGTCACGAACAAGCAAAAAAGACTTGTACCTAGAAGAATTTCAGGTTGGGTCAAGAGGTAGTCCACTGACTAAATATCAAGTTCAATCCAGTATACTCATGATTACAATGATCTCTATCTGACAGTAGAACTTTTTGAGACCCTTGTCTGTGGCTTGTGGGGATCTGTCAACGGTTTAATAAGGCCAGGTACTCTGCAGATGGGTTTTGGGCTCCCACTGTCCTCCATACCTTCTACAAATTGGGTGTTCCCAATTTAAACTCTGATAATTTTCCCTTTGTCATATTTGAATTTTGTTACTGATGTCTTTGGATCACACGGGCTGGTCTGCTTCTTCCACATGGGCTTAGTTGACTCCTTGCTTAGATAGTTGCTTGTTTGAATACAAACCTTTAAGACCCCAGACATTATTTCCGATTGGTAGCTGGGCACCATCAGCTTTCTTCACCACATTTTGCTGTCGCACGCTTATCTTCAGTGATCATTTCATGAAAGTGAGTATTGAGCAGGGCCAGGAGATTAGAACTAACTGTTCCTGGACTGGGGCTACAGTTAAGTGGGGGCCTAGAATCCATCTGCTTGTTCCTGATAGACTTGCCTTAGGTTTACTTTGGTGGTTGTATTATGACATATTCAAAACCCCATAAGACCAACTACCCCAAACAGCAACCACCAAACTAGCAGAAAACATGAGACAAACAAACAAATTCAAACAAGCAAACTAACAGCAGGGAAACAAAAACCCCACTGGAACAGAAAAGCAAACCACTATCAATCATCTCCCTGGGCTATAAGGTGATTGCACTTGCAACATCATCAGTTTTTCCACTGACACATCACCCTGGACACTGTAGATATGAAGAGTCTATGCAAGCACAGTTACACTGGGAGTTGTAAGTCATGAGTTGTTGGTCCACACAGTTCGATCTCCCACTCGATTGAGCTGTTTATATTTCCATTTTCTTTTGATGCTTCCTATATCATTCAATATTTGTTTATCGAATCCTTCAATATTGCAAATCAAGACTTTAATTTTTTTTTTAAGTTTAAGATATATTGAGTGAAAAAATAAGCTATATTGAGCATGTTCTTCTTTTTTGGTTTTCTAACTCTAGGCCTTTGCGTATTTCTTTACTACTTTGTCTTCCCCAGCTACCCTCTGAAAATCTCTGTTCAGTTCTTTCACACCACCATGTCTCCCATCTGCTTTAGTTTTTGTGATTAAGAGCAAGTTTTAAACTCTTTTGACATCCATTTTGATCTTTGCTGTCTTTTTAATGACCTTTTCCTTCTTCATATCCTTGAGCAGATTGGGAATTCCAGAACACTAAACTGTGCTAATGGGAACCTGCACGTGGAGCAAGAGGTTGTTGTGCAAATAGAACAAGGAATATTGCCTGGCTTAAACACAAGAAGGGTGCACGTCAGAGCTGTAGCCTCTCACCAGACTTATTCAATCTGTATGTTGAGCAAATAGAGAAGCTACATTATAAGAACATGGCACCAGGATTAGAGGAAGCCTTATTAACCACCTGTGATATTCAGATGACACAACCTTGTTTGATAAAGTGAAGAAGACTTGAAACATTTGCTGATGAAGACTAAGGATTGTAGCTTTCAGGATGGATTATAACTTGAATGTAAAGAAAAATGAACATCATCACATCTAGATGAGTAGGTAACATCACAATAAACAGAGAAAAGTTTGAAGTCATCAAGGATTTTGTCTTGCTTGGATCCACAATCAATGCTCATGGAAGCAGTAGTCAAGATAACAAACGATGTATTACATGGGGTAAATCTGCTGCACAAGACCACTTTCAAGTGTTGAAAAGCAAAGATATTATTTTGAGGACTAAGGTGTACTTGATCCAAGCCAGGGCATTTTGGATTGCCTCATAAGCATGTGGAATAAGAAAGACTGAAGAATCAAATTACCTTTGAATCTTTTGACTTTGAATTACAGTGCTGGCAGAGAATACTGAAGGTACCATGAACTTCCAAAAGACCAAACGAATCTCTCTTGGAAGAAGTACAGCCAGAATACTCCTTGGAAGTACAGATGGTAGGACTTCACCTCACATACTGTGGACATATTATCAGGAGGGACGACTCCCTGGAAAGGGACACCATGCTTGCTAAAGTAGAGGGGCAGCAAGAAAAAGGGAGTCTCATGACAAGGTAGGCTGACACAGTGGCTACCACCATGGGCTTGAACATAACAATCCATGAAGATGGTGCGGGACCGAGCAGTGTGCAATGCTGTTGTTCACAGGATTGTGACGAGTCGCACCTGACAACAACAATGCCAGTGACAACATGGCCTCTACTCTCCTAGACTTGAAATGGCAATAGCAACGTCTGTTTCTGGCTTTAATGGACTAGCTGTTTTGCACCACTGCCCTGTTGAGAGAATCTACAAAGGCTGAGGAAACACAAACCCAGACATATATCTACAAAAGCTGCTTGAACTCAACAGAAAACTGTTCAGGTAGCCAGAACTCATGAAGCCAACATCCCAAGAGAAGAGATTGCGAAGGTGAGACATACCTACTGTGTGTGTCTCCTTTCTCTTTCACGTATTTGCCAATTTGTAAGTGGCAAGGAGAGAAGCCCTAGTGGTACTGTGGTTAACACTTTAAGATGCAGTAGTTCAATTCCCCCAGCTGCTTCACTGGACAAAGGGGAGGCTCTCTACGACCGTGAAGAGTTCCGGTCCTGGAAAGCACAGGGGTGAATGGACTCTTCTATCGGGGTACAGTGAGTCAGAACGGGCTTGATGGCAAGTGGATGGTAGAGTGCGCGTCGGAGGATAGAAGCTGGAGTTTAGAGCTTGCAAAGGCAAAGGGGCCTGGTCAAGATTCCAGGCTTCTCTGCTTCGAATCTCTGCAAGGCTACACTTAAAAAGACAGGCAAATCCAAAACATATTGAAACCTCACCTAGAATAAACTCAGTCACCGTAAGATGATCTGCCCTTTCAAATTGTCTGTCAGAAGCAAAACTCGTTACTTTTTCCTCAATTATGGGGTAAACTCGTGGATGTAATAAAAACAATTTAAGTATATAAATTTAATATAAGACAAAAAAACATTACCCTTTCACCTTTGACAATAAGTTCACCTAGTTCCTATTCTCAGAAATAGCCAATCTTGACCATTTCCTGGGCTGAGTTTCAGAAATACCACAAATGGATAAGCATACTAGATTATAGTGTGTTACTATAATCAAGAAACTACTTTGATAAATAAAATAGCATTTTTAGACATGTATTACATATACTGAAATTTCTTTCATTAAACTTTTGAGAAAAGACAGGCCAATTACCCCAAAGTAATATAAATAAAATGCAGGATGTTACTTAAAATGAGTCCTCAGATTTGCAAAGATTAAAAAGACATTTCACTCACTCACACACTCACTTTCACTGCCACCAAGAGGATGCTGACTCACAGTGACCTTGTAGGGCAGGAGAAACTGCGCCCACAGGTTTGCAGAGTGTAACTCTTTAGAGTAGGAAGCCCAGTTCTTCTGAGGAGCCCCGGTGGTTTTGAATTACCGGCCTTTGTAGTCAGCAGCCCGAAGCATAAACACTCTGCTACCTGCTACCCAGGCTCCCAGAAAGACATTTGGAAGTATATTCAAGTATTTTTATTATAAAAGAATAACATTACTTTTAAGAATTTCAGTGAGTTAAACATTTGGTTGTTCTTAATTATATTGAAAACTTCAAATATCCTCTTTAAATGACAAATACTAATTACATACCTGCTTATTCAGCCTATTAATTGTTTCTCGAAGTAATTCTTCTTTAACCTCAGTTCTTCTAGAGATTACCTCTTCATGTTTACAAGAGTATCGCCAAGTGACATCAACCACCTCAAGACAAATCGCAGGATGTATTTAACAAGATTACTACTACCAATTTTTTTCTACATAATTAAGATTTCCTAGAATAAATACAACTCTTAAATGCAAATTTTAAAATATTGGCCCCTACCCAAAGTTCTCAAACCTGCAGAAGAAATGAAAGAGATTATCTTTATTCATTTTCTTACAGGGATACATCCAAGAAAAAAATGAACAAAAAGATAAAAAAATTCAGAACATAAACTTTTTCATTTTATCTATAAAATTGATTTCATAAAATTAAAAAAGGACTTCCATCATTTTTATTGCATTAAATGTATATTATAAAACAAAAGTACAAAGACAATTCTTTGGAAAATGGACAATTTTTAAAACAGATGCTGCTAGAATAAATTGGGTGTTCATATGAAAAAAAAATGAACTATAATCCACATCTTGCACCATAAAAATTTAAAATGCAAATGGATCACAGGTTTAAATATAAAACTAAAATTATAAAACTTTTAGAAGAAAACACATGGGAAAACATTTCTGACTTTAAACTCTGCAAAGATGTATTAGATGTGACACAAATAAGCACAATTTGTATAAGAAAAAAATGGGTACATTGGGCTTTATCAGAATTTAAACCTTCTCTTTAAAAGCTATTGTCAAGAGAATGAAAAGACAGCCACAGAGAGGGAGACAATCTTTTCACAGCATGTGCCTGATAAAGGACTTTTATCCAGAATAGGTAAAGCACTCTCAAAATTCAAGAATAAGGAAGTAAACAACAAAAACAGTAAGAAAACTGCCTCATTGGACATCCCCTTAGAGAAGGTTCGAGGGGAGGAGACGAGCCAGACAGGGTGTGGTATAGCACTGCCGAAACATACAACTTTCCTCTAGTTCTTTAATGCTGCCTCACCCCCACTACCTTGACCCCAACTCTACCTTACAAATCTGGCTAGACCAGAGCATGTCCACAGGTACCAAGAAGAGCTGTAAACACAAGGAATCCAGGACAGATGAACCCCCTCAGGACCAATATTGAGAGTAGCCATACCAAGAGGGTAAGGGGAAGGTGGGGGGAGAATGGGGGAACCAATCACAATGATCTACATATAACCTCCTCCCAGGGGGATGGACAACAGGAAGGTGGGTGAAGGGAGGCATCAGTCAGTGTAAGGCATGACAAAATAACAATAATTTATAAATTATCAAGGGTTCATGAGGAAGGGAGGGTGGGGAGGGGGAAAAATGAGAAACTGATACCAAGAGCTCAAGTAGAAAGAAAATATTTTGAAAATGATGATGGCAACAAATGTACAAATGTGCTTGACACAATGTATGTATGTATGGATTGTGATAAGGGTTGTACGAGCGCCCAATAAAATGATTTTAAAAATAAACAAATACATATAATAAAAAGTATATATATATCACACACACAAATGGCAAAGAGTACATATTACAAGTACATAAAAAGATATTCAATATTTCTTATTAAGAAATGCAAATGAAAACCACAGTAACATATCACAGCATATCTACTAGAATGGCTAAAATTTTAAAAATATGAACTTACTAAGTGTTAGTGAGGCTATAGAGAAAGTAGGAAATGTTACACATTGCTGGTAAAAAAAGTAAAAGTATACAATAGTTTCTGGAAAAGTTTCACAGTTCTTAAAAAGTTAAATAGACACCAACCATGTGACCTAGTCACTCTGGTCCTAGGAATTCACCCAAGAGGAAAAAGGTGTGTGCCCATATAAAGACTTGCCCATGAATGTTCATAGCAGCTACATTACTTAAATGCCGGCTTTCAACAGGTAAATGGATTAATCAACTGTGGTATACCCACACAGTGGAATATTACTCAAAAAACAACAGGAAAGGGAATATACTATTGATGCATGCAAGCACATGGCTAAATCTCAAAATAATTATGCTCAGTGAAAGACACCCAAACCTGCCTCCATCAAAGATTATATATTCTATGACCCAATTTACATAAAACTTTATAGAGACCCACCCCAATTAACCTACAGTGATAGAAAGAATTTCAGTGGTTACGTGGGGAAGGGCAATGAAGAGGGATGAGACAGAAACACGCAGAAATTTCAGAAGATAATGGATATATGCTCACTATCTTGATTGTAGGGCTAATTTCATAGGTATACACAAATGTCAAAACTCACTGAATTGTATACTTTAAATACAAAGGAGTTGTTACCATATATATTCGAGTATAAGCTGAGCATCAGCCGAGGCACCTAATCTTACCACAAAAACTGCATTGAAAAGTGGGCTGAAAAACTTGGCTTATACACGAGTATATACGGTATATGTCGAGTATATTTTCACAAAGACGTCTTTAAAAAATAAACGATATATTTTATCACTGGGAACATTGTTTTCCTCTATGGCCTACCTCATCTTTGGAGAATGCTATCACATAGGAGATCTTCTTGCCCCACCCGATTTCATAAAGGAGGGGCTTGTCACAGACATCCTCACACGCATCGCAGTGCAGCCACCGCTGCTGGGAAGGAGAGTAGACTTCTGTCCAGACATGGTCTATTCACGGGAGACACACAAAAGCAACGGAACAAACCAGAAGGCTAAGTTTACAAAACCAGAATGATTTACAGTGATGCTACATAGACTGCTAAGGTCAGAGGCACATAATAACATCATTTCTAAAATGCTACATTTTAGTTAATAAGACTAAACATTTTGTGGTAGACAAGAGTCTAGAACACTTGTATACTAAAATGATTACTTCTTTGAAATTCTTGAAAATAATATACCAGTCTCATTTTTCCAAGTATTTTTTAATGCAATCAATTTAAGGCTTAATTTAAAATAAAATGCATTATAACTTCAAAGGCACACATCAAACAACATCTTAGTTTGCCAATGTGGAGGAGGTTGATGGCACTTCTGAAAGTATTTAAAAAGATATAGCATCTGGGGTCTTAAAGGCTTGAAGGTAAACAAGAGGCCATCTAGCTGGGAAGCAACAAAGTCCACATGGAAGAAGCACACCAGCCTGTGTGATCACGAGGAGTCCATAGGATCAGGTACAGGCATCAGAAGCCCCAAAGCAAACACTCATATTGATGCAACGATGGTGAGAGGGCAGAATGAAGACCCAAAGCGCATCTGTAGAAAATCAGACATTCCCTCACAGAAGGTTCACAGAGAAGGGACAAGCCAGCCAGGGTGCAAAAACAGCACCGATGAAACATACAACTTTTCTCTATTTCTTTAATGCTTCCCTCCCCACCCCACACTATCATGCCCCCAGTTCTAGCTTACAAATCCAGCTAGACCAGAGCATGTACACTGGTACAGATCAGAGCTCTAGACATGGAATCCAGGACAGATAAACCCCTCAGGAACAGTAATGGGAGTAGCGATACCATGAGGGTAGGGGAAGGAGGGTGGAGAAAGGGGAACCTGATTGGAATGATTGATGTATAACCCCCCCACACACCCAGGGTGATGAACAACGGAAACATGGGTGAAGGGAGATAGTGGACAGAATCAGATATGAAAATAATAAGAATTTACAATTTATCATTGGTTCATGAGGGTGGGAGGTTGGGGGGGCGGATTGAGTTGATTCTAGGGACTCAAGTAGAAAGAAAATGTTTTGAAAAGGATGATGGCAACATATGTACAGATGTGCTTGACACAATGGATGGATGGATTGTTATAAGAGCTGTAAGAGTCCCCAATAAAATGATTAAATAAAAAACAAACAGAGAACAAAAAGACTCAGAATCAGCAGAAGGTCCAACAGAAGAGCTCTGGCTATTTAATGTTTAAAAAAATTTTTTTTAACTAAAAGAACATTAACTATAAAGTGCTAATTCTGTGTCTTAAAACAAAACAAAACAAAATAATAAACACAAGTAAAACTCAAAGAAGAGGAAAAGAACGTTTTAAAACATACAGATAACACAGGCTAAAAAAACCAACCCAAACACACTGCCATACAGTCATTTCGGACGGTCAGTGACCCGATAGGATAGGGCAGAACTGCCCCTGTGAGCTTCTGAGACTAGACCTTTCTCATTTTTCTCCCATGGAGAAGCTGGCAGTTTTGAACTGCTGATCTTGCAGGTAGCAGCCCAGTGCATAACCACTAAGCCGTCAGAGCTCCTAAATAGGTAACAGAAGTCAGCTCTAAATAAGGACAACAGAAACTTCACCTGGCCTTTACTACATTATTTGTATAGAGCAATATTAAATTTACTAAATCATTTATATTAATTTCTACTTTAATAACTTCTATAACTCATTATTATACATGTTCTTATTCACATAGTAATGATATTACCACCAATGCCATGGCAAACTGTTAATAGAACAATGTTTATATGCAAAGTACCTAGCTAAAGGGTGGGTGGGAAATCTTGTGATTCCTACAAAAATACCCTGTGAGGCTGATATTGTGGTTGTACTGCAGAATGCAAACAGAAGCTCCATATGGCAAGGCTAAAATGTAACAGGCAGAAGACAATGGCAACTTTGTGCAAAACCCTTTCTAAGCTCCTCTCCGCTCAGACCACATACCTGTGTAATCCCAAACATAGCGAGCTTCAAACCCTAAAGCTCGGCAGCACAGTGTAAAACAATTGGCCCACTCGCCACACCGTCCACATCTTGTTTCCAAAAGTTTCTCAGGGTTATTATACCTGGTTTGAAAAAGAGAGGCTGGACTCATTATCAAAACCAAGAACATAAAAATATGTATCATCTTTACACGTTAACAAGTAATGACATTTCTTAATTTCTTATTCATTCAATAAATATTGATGAAAGAGCCTAGGATATATAAGGAAATGCAGAATGTTGGGTGAAAAAAAAAAAAAGGTAAAATTAGATAGTGGTCCTTCCTTTGAAGGTTTATAATCCTAAGAAAGAAAAGCCATCCAATAGGTCAGATTTCCTGTATGGGGCACTGGCTGGGAAGGCAGGACTTGCATTTGAACTGGGACCTTGAAGAACACGTTGGATTCAGACAAGCAGAGACTTGTCTAGGAGTCCGGCTGCAAGCATTAGAACTGTTCTAGAAAGTGCATGATGAGCTTATTGCATTTAAAATTAAACAAGTTTCACAAATCACTCCACATAGATTTTAGCTGAATTTAAAAACTCAATGATAGTCATTCCTTCTAATGATCATTTTAATTGAAGTTTGATTCTTCTTAACTACTTAAAGTTACCTGCTAACTTGAGAGCTGTTTTTTGAAATACATTTGTAGCATTACTTAAATTTTAATCCAATTACAATTTTTACCAATTTTAGCTGGCTATTGGACATTAGGTTCTATCATATCTTCTGAGTATCTAGGGCTGCTGTTAGCGGCAGAACTGAATCTCCTTAAATTCAGGCATTTCAAAAAGTCAGCATCCTTTCTTGCCTGATTATATATAAACAAACTTTACAAATATTCCCAATGTAAGAAAATCAAATAATAAGTAAGTAAATTCAAGATTAAGTTCATTGAAAAAGTCAAATTTCTTGCTTTAAAATATAGGGATGGGGGAGGGCATTTTGGAGATTAGCATTTGGAGATGAGGATTAACTACAGGATTGGTGAAGGAACCACTTAATTCAAATATTTTTGTCTTTAAAACTAACGACCATGCTATACTATTTTTATAGCATTTTAATACACACCTTTGGTGTGTATTTTGAGTAT